TTAAAAAAAAAAAAAAGAAAAAGATTCTCTATAAAAAAAAATCTATAAAAAAAAAATTTCATATCACTGATACAACTTTTTAACCCAGAGATAAAATAGGTTTTAATAGCATTCAATGAAAGTAAAGAATGACATCTATCCTCACTTTTCATGATATTTAATGAAATGAACTTAGGCAATGATCTATCACTATTACTGGTGATTAAGTAAAAGGTCATTTTTTTCAATAATGATTAATTGAAAGGTTGATTTCAATTAAGTGAAAGGCCAGATAACTTTGTAATGGAGGAGATACATAATAGAGACCTTCATAAGTTGTATAATTACTGACATCTGGACCCAATGATCCATCATGACTTCACCAAAATTACATACATGCACCTATGTTGCCCTTTTAGAACCTGATTTTTTTTTTTAAGATTTTATTTATTTGACAGAGACACAGCAAGAGAGGGAACACAAGCAGGGGGAGTGGAAGAGGGAGAAGCAGACCCCCAGCTGAGCAGGGAGCCCGATGTGGGGCTCAATCCCAGGACCCCGGGATCATGACCTGAGCTGAAGGCAGTCGCTTAACCAACTGAGCCACCCAGGCACCCAAAAGAACCTGATTTTAACAGGATTAAATAAAATGAGATATCAGGAAAATAGGAACAAGGAATGAATATTTGATGGTATTAAGGGATTATTAAAATTTTAGATGTGAGATAACAGTTCGGTAATTATGTTAAAGTTAGTCTTAATGTATACTGAAGTATTTATGAATAAAATCATATGTATCTAGGGTCTTCTCTATAATTAGGGAGGGGGCAGAGTAGCTATGCCAAAACAAAGTAATTAAAACTTTCATGAATATTTTTTATAATAGTAATAAAAAACAAGCTTACCACTAGATCCAAAGTACCAACATATACAATCATTGGCTCTTTCAAATAAGTCTGTGCAAGTCGACGGACAGCATATGGCCATGTTGCACTGGAAATAAACATGATATAAAAATTAAAATTTTATTATAAATCAAATATTACTAAGTTTCCCTAAGAATGCTATGAACCAGACTACCCATGAAAGACAAATTGAGTACTTTTAAATAAGGGAGACTTTACAGAAAATGTGTACTTCATAAAGAACTGCTCAACTATAGCAAAGCTACTACATGAAACCTTTAAGTTTAACAAACAGGTTTAGGGGTGCCTGGGTGGCTCAGTCGTTAAGCGTCTGCCTTCGACTCAGGTCGTGATCCCGGCGTCCTGGGATCGAGCCCCGCATCGGGCTCCCTGCTCTGCGGGGAAGCCTGCTTCTCCCTCTCCCACTCCCCCCGCTTGT